GCCTTTCGCTTGGTTCTAGGTAGTACTAACTGTCATAATTACCGTCAACACCCGCGATGAGAAGAGAAAATAACATACATTGATTAAAACAAAACAAATAAAAAAAATCCGAGGGATCACCGCAAAAATACCAATTGGTACTCCGTACTCGTAAAATGACCCAGTTTTTCTGCGAAATTGGTGCTCGCGCCATCCGAGCTAAGCATCAAGGCACCTTTTCTCGGCATCGGAACTATAGGGAACATCATGTTGGTAAAAAAAGGCTCAAAAGTTTTGATACATACGGATTGTTCAACTACTTATGTGATCCTAACAATCATCACTTCGATCATACAGCCACCCGGCATAGCCTCGGAATATTACTAGGCTCAAACGCGGCTCAGAAGATGAAACGACGGCGGGTCGGTTTCCCCAGATAGAACACCTGGTCAGTAATTTCCCGAGTCATCCAATGTAATAGATTTCAGGGCTGAATCTGGGCCTGGGGGAGCTTGTGAATCTAAAGTTAATAGCATGATTATTGTCCGCATGATTGGCATATCACCAACGTAATCCTAACTGTATTCTAATATTCCACATATGTACGTATAGTTGCACCCGAATATGATTGATTGTTAGTGCCATTGAGCCTGCTATGTTGTATGTTGTAGACACATATTTGGAGAGGTTACTCAAGTATAGCAGCTTTCCCAACCCCTGATTCATATTTAGGTCCGCTCATTGGGTACGATGTAGATCGACACTTCCCTGGCCGAAAAGGGAAAAAGATGCTTCCACAATTGGAACCTCACGACAGAGTCTTTTCCAGGATCTTCTTGTGGGTGATTTGATTGGCAATAGAGGGCGAGTTCCTGCGGGTTGTCGAGTTGTACGGACTAGCCCTAATGATCCGCACTATCATAAATATATTTTAACACGGGATCGGCGTGTGAATCTCACATTCACATTCCCATCGAAAGACGGACGATTTAGTATCCGAGGAATTAAGATCTCACGTTGCATACATTCATACCACAGAAGAGGAATTGCCTTGGAAGGCCCCCTTCGTAGGGAACACTAAACCCCATCTGTACGCACCGCCTCAAAGCGGCTTAGAGAGTGTGGCCCCGATCGTGTGAAATGCCAAGACGGACGCTTGCGCGTCTCCAGCCTTTCAGTGGAAAAGCGGACAGAACAGTCGAGCTTTCGTACCTTGGCCGCGCGTTGGCCCTACAACACACAGTTTTTGATATTTCCTTTTCCCTTTTTTCCCCTTGACTTCTTGACTTTACAATAGCTTGATGTTGATTTGGTACGGGTTACGGTATACTTCGTACATAATACAACAAAATTATGGACTCTTAGGGAGTACAACGGAACAAGCCGACCATGAGCTTTGATCATCGCCTTATGAACTCTCAAGGGTATTTGATCTTCGTTGTACCCAACCCTGCCCAGGTGATTATTATTATATTGATGACAACCATGGAAGGCTTTGGTAACTGCCTGATGATCCAAGGGTAGGAGCACTCACATTCTGAGTCGTGTGTAGTACATATATACATACATATGTACCTTGAATATCCATGGATGACAATTTGAGATAATATCAAAGTAAGTGAATATATACGAAAAAGGATATAGAAGCCTTCAAGCCATCAAAGTGTAGACAATGCCAAGGAACTAGCAACGATCCATGAAAATCTGGATGTGGACGTTACGTGTTCACGGGAGCCAAAAATACGCAAATTACGGAAATTACGGGGAAAAAGGGTCCTTTTTCTTGGCTCTTTTTTGGTTTTTGCACACGCGGCTTGGCCGCGGGGCCCGTGATTGGGGCCAGATGCTGACGACGCTCGTAATACTGCGTACAATCCGTACTCTTGTCCTCCCTCTCTCTCATCCAAGGGTCTCTCTTTCTTTCTTTCCCTTCTTGACTCTCCAATAAGAGAGTGATCGTCAAGTGCTACGTCAACTCGAGCGAGATAGTCCCTTCTTTACTACTCGTCTCTGACATCCCTTTCTTACCATCCTCTTCCCCCCAAACCTGGGTCAAATTGGACCTCCTTCGCCCAAACTCGATTTGTTCGCCCTTTCCGAGTCATCCTGGATCTCAACATTCATCGTCTTGGAAGTCTGCCGTGACTTCCTCATCGACTATGGCGGACGGCAGACAACGGGCTACCCAGCCTGCCCCAAACGGCTACGACGCCTCCTCCCTAACCCACGAATTCGAGCAGCTGATGCGCACCAAACGACTCAACCGACTTCATGAACCTTCTCGCTCGCGTACTCATTCACCATCGCCATCTTCCATGTCCAGTTCATCACTCCCTCCGCCGCCGACCCGAGCTCCGCCACCACCTCCCTCGTTGGGCACTCCTGCCGCCGCTCCCTCGCCAAAGCCATCCACGACCTCACCAGCACTACGCGGCCTTCCTATCATGCCATCACCTCCCCAGGATGCAGCTTCACTCAAGTTTTATAATTTACTGAAGGGATTATCAGTCACACCAACCAAGTACGAAAATCCAGGTCTATTGGATGAGGCCTTGTGTGTTATTCCGCTCGATCGTCTGTATTCCGAGGCCGAGGAAGAATCCCAGATTATGCAGGCCCAGGCTGCCAGTGTCGGAGGCAAGCCGGAATGGGGCTATCAAGACTGTGTGATCCGAGCATTGTTAAGGTATGTTGGGAATCCCTAGGTGGTCTAGACCCATTGCGCCCTTGCTAACATATCTACATCCAGATGGTTCAAGGGGTCGTTCTTCCAATTTGTTAATAACCCTCCATGCTCGAAATGCCAAATGCCCACGATCGCTCAAGGCATGACCCCTCCCACCCCCGATGAGACCGCCCGGGGCGCAACCCGAGTCGAGCTGTACCGTTGTTCCGATACTAGTTGCACCGCCCACGAGCGATTCCCGCGGTATTCCGATGTGTGGCAATTGCTGCAATCTCGACGAGGCAGAGTTGGCGAATGGGCCAACTGCTTTAGTATGTTCTGCCGCGCAGTCGGAGCCCGAGTCCGTTGGGTCTGGAATTCCGAGGATTATGTCTGGACCGAAGTGTACTCGGAACACCAGCGGCGATGGGTCCACGTTGATTCTTGTGAGGGCGCCTGGGATCAGCCTCGCCTGTATACCGAGGGATGGCAACGCAAGATCTCTTACTGTGTTGCCTTCTCCATCGACGGTGCGACCGATGTTACCCGCCGCTATGTTCGCAACTTTTCCCGACATGGAAGCCCTCGTACTCGCGCCCCCGAAGAAGTTGTTCTGTGGTCGATTCACGAGATCCGACGCAAGCGTCGCGAAAACATGTCGAAAACCGACCAACGCCGCCTGATCAAGGAGGATGAGCGCGAAGAGAAGGAACTCCGTTGCTACATGGCATCTGCTCTGGCAGCAGAGATTAACAACATGCTCCCACAGGGACTTGCCGGTCGCCGTGAGGATCAAAAACACCCAGGTGCTCGCCAGGAGGCCTCGACCGAATGGCTCGCGGCACGAGGCCATGGTAACTCAGGACCCGACCGTTCCCACGAAGGACGGTAAAATTACTGCTGGTAACCTGGCATCACATCAACCCCTTGGCTTCTGAAATTTCATTTCAGCCATACCACTCATCGAACGATTGTGCGACCTGGATATTCAATATTCCGCAGCCCCTTTCTCGCGTCGGAGGACTGACCGGGCGCAGCGACGTTCGACAAACCCTTAGGTAACATTGGTTCGGACTATTGACCAAAGCCACTGCGGTCGCGCTGGGCAAACTTCGTGCCGCTGGCATCCCTTTCGGGCGTCAGCATCAGAAGGACCATGCTATCTTGACAGAGATTCACGCATGTGCGACCGCGGATTTGGACGAGCAGACTCTCGGGCCTGCCACAATGGCTGGCGATGTTGGCCAATTGTTCCCCTGATCATCGATCATACAATTCCTCTCCTACGCCCGAATCACGACATCTATCTACGTGATAATTTTACGTGATAATTTCCATTTCCTTTACTCCCTGAGATAACACGTCCGGAGTCTGATTTTTTCCCGACCATCTTTCACTTAATATGGGCCACAACGGGGAGTTTTCGCTTCATAGTTTTGCACGGCGCCCATGGTGGCAACGATATCTTCCATCTCCTTCAGTCTTTTATCTCTAATATCTCTTGGAAATGCCCGACGACACATTTACGAGTCACGGATGCAGCCATTTTTTCTATGTTTACTTTTGCATGTCCTGGCAGGATCGCCAGTTCGATCTTTTTCCTTATATACCTGGCCACCTTTTTCAAGGGTCAATTTCCTTTTCTAGCAGTGGGCTTGCACCCTTCAATACCAATATTCTATTATCCAGTGTATTCCATACAATACCAGACTAGTTTGATTATGATGCGCAATCTTCCCCGCGCTCTCCCTAGCGCTCCCGGTGGAGCCGAGTTCAGGTTTTTTGGCCCCTGGCGACATTACTTTGTGCACATAATCGCACGTCATCTGCAGGGCTTAACCTTAAGGGATATCACAGTGTACAGTATACTATCTACAGCATACTTTGTACCTGGAATGGAGACATCAGCCTTGATATCATGATTCTGCACCATCCCTATAAGGTAAAACACGTGGTTTATGTATTTATAGGCCGACTCCTCTCGGTGGGTCCAGGATCTCACTTGAATGTTTACGAGAGCATAGGGCTACGAAATTATATTCCGTGTATAGCAACTTAGTACGTAGCTTTTTATGTATATTATCAAGTCAGAATACCGAATATATAGACCTGGAACGTTCAGAAATAAGTACATGTCCAAGTATGTGTCGATGATACTCCGATCCTGATATGTAGATCTGCAACGGTGTCTTGCAACATACTCCGAAGTGATGCCGAAGCATGCCAAAAACCAAGATAGTGACGATCCAACATATGTATGTTGTACATACATACATTGTCAATCAACAGACGATCATTGCATCATGCATGAAACAGGTTTAATCACGCCATTGCGGTCAAATCTTGATTATACCTCTTACACCGCTGATATCCAGCAGTCTATGCCCCTCCGCCGAAGATCCACCCCTATGCGATCCAGTTCATGCAAATAGTAAGATTGGCCTTGAAGCCTCAGCTCCCAGCTACCCCTCGACCCAGGCGTAGCTGTAGCAGTTTCGCAAGCCCCAGAAGAAAACGAAGAATCAGACCTCAAACTCTTACAAGAGTCTTCATCCGAACTAAATCCATCGAGCCCAACATCCCTCGCCCTCAACCGAACCCCATCCCTCATCCCAACCCCATCAAGATCCTCATCCCCATCCCCATCCGCATCCCCATAATCCCCCCCACTACAATCCCAATCCCAACCCCGTCTCGAAGCAGACCGAACAACAACCCTGCTCAAAGGCTCCAAAAACCCCGCCAATTTCTCAACAGGCTCACTGAACCAATTGCTCTCCAACACGAGCACAAACGACCGCAGTGATCCCAGCTGCGACACCGCCCGACATGTCTCTATCCACTGCATCCGTCCTGCGGACACGTACACCGCGCGCACGGAGTCTTTGCTCGGCAGCCAATGGCCCGGGAAGGACCAGCGTAGCTCGATGGCGCGTATGCGGTCCCGGTGTTCGGGTCGGATCGTTGGGAGGAGGTACGGGAGGGTCCAGGGGTTACTGAATTCTAGAGTTGGGAGGGTGTAGAGGAGAGGGATGGATTCGTGGTATCTGGTTTTTTTGTATTAGTATTGGGATTGGGTGGTTTGTATATGGAGCTCTTTCTGGGGTGAGGAGAGGAGAGGTAGGAGGTACATGTACATGCATGTACAGCGTACAATGTATATTGTACAATAGAATCGTAGGGGTAGGGTAGGGTAGGGGGAGAACGAATATTTCATACATCTGCCGACAAGTCAATGCCAGACCCAGTAAATTGACCTTATTCCAGCGCACGAGATCGGGCTCTTTCGCCGGCTGGGAGATGCCCGTGCCATGGCAGATCTCACAGAATAAGTTGCTGTTCCGGCGTGTGTGGCGCTTCGATGGCGAAAACGTCGTTTTTGTTGGTTTTGGCTCGAGCGCACATGGACATGCCACGTGCCCGAGTCGTTGCTTGTTGCATTGGATTATATGGATTCTTTGGCCTGCTAGCACAAATCCCCAGATCATTAGCCGAAGCTCCGGTGATAGCCGGCTGAGGAGTCTGCTTTGGAATTGGGGTGAGGAGAATGCTATTGTTTGGCGGCGGGGGAGTGGAGGGGGTTTGTTGCCTGTTTTTTTTTTTTAGATCTGTTAGACATGTATACCCGAGTATAAAGAAGTAAGAATAGAAGTTATTGACTTACTCTGATACCGCTGGAGCAGCACATCCTCCCATGAGAACACCCCCTTCATACGGGCCATTGTTGGTAGTAACTCTGTTCCCTAAAATCAAAAACAAAGAGACATTGACAGCGAGGTCGGTTCATAAATAGTGTCATAAGACCTACACCTGCCCTATCGGGTACAACACGTTCCCGTCAATCCGAACGGGCTTAAGTGGCCCAGTTCAGGATTTGGGCAAAGAGTCGGTGAAGGTAAAGATAAAGGGGTGTAGGAGGTATTTATGTCTACATGTATCTGATAGATCTATCTGAGACCAAAAGAGATAAGGGAATGCGGAAGAAAACGGGCTAGTCGTAGATCTTTTTTACCGTACCTTGTTCTAGTTAGATGTATACTCGGTGAATTACTTACTGGATTTGGTGTAGCGTGCCGAATCGGGGAAAGCGCTTCAATGCCGCTTGGCGTCGTGGTGCGTGGTCTATAGTCCTAGTTATAAAGCTCAAGGACCACCCTGACCTAGCAACCTTCACTTGATTCCAACCCCGTCCATTATTTTTTGTTCCGTTCAAGGAAATGGCGTCTTCCTTGTTCCTAGGCTTAGTTGGCGAACCCCTACGTGACGGCGAGGTCCTAGGATATGGAAGAACAGGGGTAGTGATCTGCCGCGACAATTTGGCCGTCAAGATTCCCTTGAGCATCCCTGGAGTAGCGACACAGACGTGCAGTCAAATATAGAGGTCATTGAGCGTGAACAAAATGTCTATCATCGCTTCAATCAGTTTCCAAGGAAACAAGTCGATCGTATCGTACCCTGTCTCGGGCTTGATAAGAACGCCACTCACTTGGCTTATAGGGAAAACGGAAACCTACGCAATTACTTGGCAAAGAATCAGCCATCTCCTGCAGTTCAGATTACATGGTTTCGTCAGATGGCCCAAGCCCTTGAACAGGTCCATGATACATGTGTTCTAGTAGCAGATATTGCTAGTCGCAATTATCTGCTCGATTCGGATTTATCTATCAAAATCCGTGATTTCAACGAGTCGTCTCTTCTACCAATTGGAACGGCCATGGAAATGGCCGACGACGATGGGTATTTGATACAAACAGACATCGGGCAGCTTGGTGCAGTGATATACGAAATGATCACCCGACAACAATGCGACTTCGACCTCTTTAGGAAGGTATTCCTCCAGACGTCGGGCTATCTGGCCACCTCGAGACTCGCTTCCTAGCACTGATGGGCTCTGGCTTGGCCCAGTTATTGAGAGGTGCTGGGTGGAAGGAGGGTTCCAAAGCGCTCATGCCTTATCACGGGCACTGGGCTCTGTGGATTTAATGGGAATCTCGGATGGAGACAGCGGTCTCTGCGACGACCTGTTGCCTATACCCCGTTGGAATCACCATGACCATGTCAGGAACTCCGTCATTATGCTAGCAGTGGTCCTCACAGTTGTCGCATTCATTGGTTCTCGGACCAAGAAACAACCTTGAGCCAGGGATTAATCTTGCATTTCTTAGCTTTGCTTACCTATAACTTTTTTATTATAATGTGAGGGGGGTAGATACGTATGCAGCCAACAGACAAGCTGGTCTTTCATTTGTTTGTACAATCCTGGCTCTATCTAGTGGATTTAGATTTTCCTTTGTCGGGAGAGGCTTTCCCGTCTAAGCTGCAGCTTTTATGAGGGCGTTCAGGGTCAGGCTCAGAATACATTATGATAATACGCGAGAAAATCGCAAGCGCAAGACTTCCTCCATGCGAACAACAGCCAAACGCGCGGAAATGGACGAAATGACACTTGTATGGTCTACCTCGCCGCTATAACTAGGAAGGGGCCGGCTCTCATCAGAGGTCAAGTGCAGACATTCCGTCTTCAATGATCCCTATACCAGACTTGGCACGACCAGGCTTAGAAGTTGATGGCTGCTCCTCTGATAGGGCCCCGGTTGATCGCCGTCCTGAGCCCTTCTTCGCTGAAGTCGGAGTTGGTGACTTAAAATCCATAGCAGGTGGTGGTAACGTGACAGTCTTGGACCTAAAGCGACCATTCTCGTCGTAAGGGCTTTTCCCGGCCAGGACGAATTTAACCCATTTGTTAAAACTTGCTGTCAACTTTGCTTGGCTGCCTTGAAGCCACTCCATATGACTTTTATCGCATCGTTTGCATTTTTCTTTGCGCCTGTAATGCTTCAGGGAAAATTCGGCGATTATAAGTTGTTCAATCCGATAGGGAAAGGATACGAATGCTTTCTTCACTACATTGAACTCTTCATAGCACCGTCTGTGATTTGAAAATCGCTTGTCGGGTTTCCTGGTGTGTCCGACTTTGAACATTTTTGGTTCTCGAGGGTGAGAGATGAGGTATACGAACCCAGGTCCGTCTGTCTCTCTAAGGGGCTTGAGCAATTCACCGGTCGCCATTAGTTGCACGTCGTATTTGTCCGCAGGTGATGTGGACTTGCAGAGTTCGAAATCGGTTTCTGGCGGGGCAGAAATGATCGACTCTTCCTCCAAGCACTCGAAAAGATAGGTTTGCAGCTTGCAACGGAGTTGGTGTCTCTTTTCATCGTTGTAAAGCTCCTTTAGCCATTGGCTTTGGCGTCGTCAGAATTTGGTTGGTGCTGACGCTGGCAAAGACATCTCTTGATCAATTCTGCGAGAACATCATTGAATACACCATCTTTGTCGTGAAAGTTGTGGTCAGGTCCACTAAGGATGGCATATAAATGCCCGAACGATTCCTTCACGGGTTCGAGGTTGGCTCCTGCAATTTTATTGCCGCAGGGCTCCGTGTCACGTTTGAGCCGGGCACATTTGAGCGCGGATATAGGTCCACATACTATCTCCAGTAAGCCTGAGAGACAAAGGAACCCGTTGCCCGGGGTCACCAGGGATTAGGCTGACTGAAGCACACCCCGATGCCGCAGTTGAAAGACATATTCTGTGCGCAGTAGCTATCAAGGATATAAGAGAATTGGTGCCTGCAATGCGAACGGAGGCCAGGGCTATACCGTGCCAGGCATCGATGTTGGACGAGAACGATGTTGGGGCCAAAAGTTCCAAGTCGTGCGTCCCGAAAGGAATGAGCCTTCGGAATAAGATAGAGCCGGGTTCCAGTTGGCGCAAACTCGAGTCCGAAGGCTTATCGATTCATCTCTTAGGGAGTACAGTATGTAGGCACTAAGGGTCAGAAGGGAGAGAGTTGTATTGGGAGAGAAGGTGTGAGCTCCCAAACTAACTAGAACGAGGCGCCTATGCCTGATGCATTAATCATAACACATCGGGTGATGAAATTGTCCCTGTACGAGGTCTAGCAGCAATGTCTGCATCTTCAAACAATACCCCGTACCCCGCTGGGCTATAGCCGGTACTCGGTATTCTGGCGTAAAGTAGATGCCTAACAGTGAGATAGTAATTCAAACAGGGGGAAGGTACATTGCTTGTGCTAGGTGCTGTATTTTATTGATGTTCTACAGGCATATGTAGCTCTCACGCTTCGATCAACATACACTCAGTGTATTCTGCAAATAGGTTCCAGACCTCAAGCGATAAGTAACCCAATGCCGCGCCCGACACCAAATGTGTTAGCCTAGACTGTTAATCTGGGGCGTCACCTGCAACCCCTCCGACAACATAGTCAATCCAGCCGGCTGCAGCTGGTCAACACAGGCCTCTGCCGGCAGAGTGCCCACATAAGCATTGAAGTTGTAGATGCCGCAGACGCACGTGTCGACAACATCCCTCAAGCTCGTCCCCGACAAAGTATCAACCGTCCGGAAGCCGCGAGTGACTTTGAAACTCTGTGCGCCCACACCCATCGGCACCGAGTGTGACCAGACTCCTGGGGGCGCGATGTAGGTCTCAGTCTTATCACCAGACTGCACCCGCACCATCGCGGGAAACTTCAGCATCGTGACGACAAACACCTCGTCTTTCATTGTGTCGGCGCCGTCGGGCCGGCCGCGGAAGAAGTTGCCGCTGGCGTTGTCGGGGCTGCCTTGCATTGTTGTATCTGTTGCGTCGCAATCAACGCTCTTCATGGTGGGCCGGTACCAGTAAACCAGTTTTTCTTCCTCTATGAACCTGATAGGCAGTCTCGAACCTGCTTTGTAGGCGGCGATGAAGGGCTTTGCCATGTCGAGCCAGCCGTTGTGGGGCCTGTTTCCTTGTGAGTTGATGGTTCCGTTAATTTGCTGGGGTGGACTATCTCTACTTACATGTCCATTACCCACTTGGAGGCGCCGTCGTCTGTGTGTGGTGACGACAGCGGGCCGATATAATGCGACTCACCATAGTCGTTCCAGGTGATGATCTCCACAAAGCGAGGGCTAAGGCGTAGGATCTCTCTCCACCGGTCATACCAGAGGAGGTCGGAAGGGAACACCCAGTTCTTGCTGTACGAGACCTCGGGGCCGTAATGAGTCGAGAACCAAGGCGAGATGGCTATTGCCAATCAGCAAATATACACAGAAGAACCAACATACTCCAGCTACTTACGCGCAATATATGGTTTCCCCTGAAGAGCTTCCTCATAAGCCTGGTCGCTATCTGCAACAGTGACCTTCTGCTCGGTAGTCGGAGCCCTGTTATTTCCATTACTGTCCCAACCCATCCAGTTCAGAGCACCGTCAATCTTATCGAAATCACCCTGACCGGGGTGAAAATTCGGCGCAAAGAAGATCTCGCTGCCAGCAGTGGATCTGATTGCATCGATATCGACACCGTCGCCAGTAAATGACGATACAAAGACCTTCCCGTCGACCATGAGCTGCGCGGGATGACCTGCATACTGCGCGATCTTGGCGCCGACTTCGCAGCCCTGGCTGGCCTGCCACCAGTTGAAGTCGAAGGAGATGAACACTTTCATGCCATTTCTGGCAGCGGATTCATAGGCATAGTACAGTTGGGTGTCGGTGTAAGGGTCGGTGCCAATATTCAACGCAAAGGCATCGATACCGGCATGCTTGGCACGCTTCATGTCATCGTCATAGTCGCAGGCGCTTTCGCGGTTGCTGACGATGCCCATCTAGATAGTGTTAGTGTTTTTATCTTGAGGGTCTGATAATGCAATAAA